GTAGATTATGTTGTTTCTGTTGTTATTGTTGTTGATGTTCTTACTGTTGTTGTTTGCAGTGTTATTGTTGTTGTTGTTATAGTCAATGTTTTTGACGTTGTTGTTGTAGATTATGTTGTTTCTTTTGTTATTGTTGTTGTTGTAGTTATTGTCATTGTTGTTTATTGTTGCTGTTATCGTTAGTATTTGAGTTAAAGTTTGAAAGGATGAGTTACAGCGGCGACTTGATTGTTTCATCTCCACTATTTTCTTTAATTTTTAATCTCTCTTCCCTTCATGTTGATGAAGACTTTTATGTTCTTCTACTTCTTGCTGGAGTTTTGGATTTTGGAGTTTGAATTCTTCCTCGTTGAATTATGTGAGTTGTGAATAGATGGTGGTTTGTTCCACGACTATAATTGCCAGTTGTAGCATTCTGTGAAAGTGTTTGCCTGCTGTTTCGAATGAAATGATTCTGCCCTTTCTGCCCGTCAGCCACAGTTGTACGTTTCATTATTTTATTTTTTAATTTAATTATTTGTTTTTCAGATCATTTTATTATTTTCCATGCTTGGGTATTCTCACTCAGTCATTTTCACCCTACATAATATCGTCTGTCATTTTAAAACTTTGACTTGCATGTTGTGACATTATCTTCGCCTGTCAGATTCTGATTTTATAAAGGATAATAATAAAAAATTTTTATTAGTTTTTCTTTATATGTTTGTTGTTGTTGTTGTTGCTGCTACTGTTGATGTTGTTGTTGATGTTGTTGCGGTTGTTGTTTCAATTGTTCTAAATGTTTCTATTGATAGCAATAATATTTTTCATTTGAGTGTTTTTTGTGTCCATCAGGCGAGCTGACGTTGGTAGGTCCTTCCAAGTTTAACTCCTCAGCTGGCTCCTCCGAGAACCTCCACCCATCTATTTTGTACCGTGCAAACTTCACTATGGCCATCTCAACCAATTAATAACAAAAACATTAATAAAATGATGACAAAAATTATATATGATATTAATATATTACATTAATAATAATTAATAATAATAATAACAATATCGTTAACAACAACAGCAATACCGACATCAACTTCAATAACAAATAAAATAATTATATTTGTAAAAATATTGGTATTTGCTATAAATTCAGAGGGACTCATCACGGTGCAGTTATTTTAATGGGCCACCGACAACAATTAATAACTCGAGGCCTCCTAAGTAAGATGAAAAGATCCTTCCAAACAAGACTCGATTGGTGTGGGTGGTTGTGGCTGGTGTGGCTGGTTGTGGCTGGTGTGGCTAGCTGTCAGTAGTTGTAGCTAATTGTCAAAAGGTTGTGGTTGATGTGGCAGGTTTTGATAGTAATGCTGGAAATGAATGAAGTTAGTGTAAAATATTAACGCTGAGTCGGTGTAATACAAATTGTTATTACGCAATCAAATCAGATCACATATGCGCTAACAATGCATATTATATTAAGCTGTTCCATCTGAAATATCGTAGCGTGGATAATCTGTTGGCAACCTATTATTGTGGCTTGTTTGTTCTGCTACAACTGCCACTATTCGCGGCATCTGTGGCGTATTTACGAGTGGTATTCTTTTTTTTATATATTTTCGCCATTCATATGCTCATCGGTATCTTTTCTATGCGTACAAAACAATTATATTAAATAATAATAATAATAATAAATAATAATAATTAATAATAATAACAACAACAACGTTCACAACATCACCAACACCAACAACACCATCAACAACAACAACGACAACGAAGACAAAGACAATAATAATAATAATAATAATGGAAACGGTCTTTTATTTTCTGCATGAGACACACATATTAACTGTCAATGATATTTTGTTGTAAATTATTATAAAATATTTCAAAATATTCTGCGAATCTCGCCATCCCATACAAGGTGCGTACAACGAGACTAGATTGGTTCTAAATGATTAGTTCTTTCTCTTAATGTGTCTATCACAATAAATTGCATACGATGACGATATTTAGCTGAGTTAATAAGGTTATTATTTAATGACCAAAGTAATTAGGCTAATTAAAGACAAATTTAAACTGTTAAAAAAACCAAGTGGCAAAATTTCGAAAGTGTTGGTAGCAAATTTAAAATAATTAAAACCGTCAAGCAAATAGTTATGCAAATCTGAATGTTTAGACAGTTTATATTGTTTTGAGTTAAAGAAGTCCGATTCAGGGCTGATCGTCAGTTTCAATATTTTGATAGTGTTTCCTCGGAGCAATGCGATGTCAGGACGTGTTGATTTGAATGAATGAATGAATGAATGAATGAATGAATGAATGAATGAATGGAGATGAATGGATGGATGAATGAACGAACGAACAAACGAATGAATGATTGAATTAATTAATTAGTTACTTTAAATGTTATACAATTAAATTAACTTGTTAACTAAATATTTACGTTCGATATTCTAACGCAATTGAGTACATATTTAAATGAAATATCTGGCTTTCGCTTTGTTTGTGTGTGTGTGTGTGTGTGTGTGTGTGTGTGTGTGTGTGTGTGT